TGTAATACCATGCATCAGTACTTCCTTATTTTTGTGGGCAAATGATATTCTGTCGTATGAATATATCGCATTTTGTTTATCCATTCCTCGGTGAATTTTATGTGGATATATGCGTTTTTCTCTCGTGTGTATTCCTAGGAATGGAATGACTATGTCATATAACTCTGTCTAAATTTTTGAGGAAATGCTGAAGTGTTTTTAACCATGGCTGCACCAGTTTTGTACATTCTCACGAGCACCGTGTGAGGGCTCCATTCTCTCCACATCCTGGTCACCATTTGGTATTTTCTATCCCTTTTAATGTATTCATTTTAGTAGGTGTGAAGTGTTATCTCATTGTGGGTTTGTTTTTCTTTTTTTTGTCTTTTTCCGTGTCCGGCAACGGATCGCAACCCTCGGTGCTGCTCCCGCGCCTCGCTCAGCCAGTGAGCGGGAACCGTTCCGTATGTGGGATCCGAACCCTCAAGCGGGAGCGCCGCCGCGCTTCCCAAGCGGCACACTTATCCAGTGCGCCACCGGGCCGGCCCTGTTTTTTTTTTTTAAAGATGACCGGTAAGGGGATCTTAACCCTTGACTTGGTGTTGTCAGCACCACGCTCAACCAGTGAGCAAACCACCATCCCTATATGGGATCCGAACCCGTGGCCTTGGTGTTATCAGCACCGCACTCACCCGAGTGAGCCACGGGCCGGCCCTCATTGTGGTTTTGACTTGTTTTTCCTAAAGACTGATGATGTAGCGTTTCATGTATTTATTGGCCATTTCTATATCCTCCTTGGAGAAATATCTATTACCTCTTCTTTTGATGAAGCAAATGTCTTCAATTTGCAAAGCGACTTTCTCCAAAGAGCTAAATAATAGATAATATTTGTCAACTGTACACTTAAATGCTAGGCATTGTGCCCCTACTTTATCAGAATATCTGTATAATCTTCAGCAACCTCAGGAGATTATCATCCTCATTTTACAGATGAGAAAAATGAGACTTAGGGAGGTTACATGGTTTGCACTGCTGGTGAGTGGTGGATCTTGCATACTTGAGAGTCTGTTACACTCTAGTGTCTCCCTGCGTCTGAGTGAGCTGATGGAATTTCTGAGGTAGGAGCGAATGGGAAAATTTGCATACGACTGCAGGTCTGCCAGTTCAGCCCTAGTGTCCTTCGAACGCTTTCTTCATGTGAGAATTGGTGACTCTATAGGCTGCAAACTTATTTCTTTCTCTTCCTCCAGTATCACCTTCTTGGGATCCTGCCGTTTCCCAAAACGAAGACTCAGGAGAAGAAGGAATGGATTCTAGTCTGTGCACAAGTGGGCGCCAGGTAGGTTAGAAATTTGTTCTAAGAGGCAACCTCTTTTATTATTAATACTAATGGTAGGGTTGGTTTGTGTGTCGTTCCCCCCCTGCCCGCCCCCAATTCACAAAAGTAATTCATGTTCATCTGAGGAAACCTGGGAAATATAGAAAACACGAAAAATTTAAAGTAACCCTTAATCCCACAAAGAGGTGGCACTTAACGTTTTTACTTGTGTCCTTTCAGTCACGTTCTTTTCTGTATTTCCTCAAGGTGGGTTTCTCTGTTTTGTAACCTTTTTGTTTCCACTTAGCAGAATTTGATGAACATTTCCCCATTTCATTAAGAGCATTCTGCCAAATCATTTCTAATTCATTCGACTGCATAGTCCTTCTATGAGAGTAGCAACTGTCTTCCCTTCTTTCTTGACTAGGTAATGCTGTATTTATTTTCATTTTTTAAAACTTTGTTCTTGGGCTGGCTCTGTGGCTCACTCAGGAGAGTGCAGTGCTGATAGCACAGAGGCCGCGGGTTCATATCCTATATAGGGATGGACGGTGCGCTCGCGGGCTGAGGGTGGTGCAGACGATGCCAAGCCAAGGGTTGCTATCCCCTTACCGGTCAAAAAAACCCCAAAACTTTGCTCTTCGATATCTTTATAATTTCTACTCTTTATTAATATATTTTTCTTTATTAATTTTTTGCTTCGGATTTCCTCAGATTTATTTTAAAATTGTTATTTTTTAACCGCTTGAGTTGAATCCTGAATTTATTTTCTCCCTTCCTTGCTTATATTGAAAGGATTTTTTTTTCTCTTTTTTTTCTTTTTCTGGCAGCTGGCCGGTACAGGAATCTGAACCCTTGACCTTGGCATTATCAGCACCAAACGCTCCCAATAGAGCTAACCGGCCAGCCCCTACATTGAAAGTTTTTAGCTGTTGATTTCATTTTTTTTTTTTTCCTTTTTGTCTTTTTTCGTCTCCGGCAACGGATCGCAACCCTCAGTGTCGCGCCCGTACCGGACCGGGACCAGCAATGGGATCGCAACCCTCGGTGTTGCTCCCACACCTCGCTCAGCCAGTGAGCGGGAACCGGTCTGTATGTGGGATCCGAACCCTCGGTGGGAGCGCCACCGCACTCCCAAGCGGCGCACTGTAGCAGTGCGCCACCGGGCTAGCCCAAAGATTTTCTTTTTTTTTTTTTTTTTTTTAATTTTCCAAAATGAGGATTTGTTTTTTTTCCTTTTTGTCTTTTTTCGTCTCCGGCAACGGATCGCAACCCTCAGTGTCGCGCCCGTACCGGACCGGGACCAGCAATGGGATCGCAACCCTCGGTGTTGCTCCCACACCTCGCTCAGCCAGTGAGCGGGAACCGATCTGTATGTGGGATCCAAACCCTCGGTGGGAGCGCCACCGCACTCCCAAGCGGCGCCCCACCGCAAGGGCCCCCCCGGGGGCCCCCCCCACCTTTTTTTTTTTTTTTTTTTTTTTTT